GGACCCGGGGCGCCCTCCCTGCCCTGCCGCGGAGGGCTCTGGGGGGGTCCCTTTGTGCAGCAGGGGCAGGGAGGACAAAAGGGGGGGGTGGCACATCCCGAGGGCAGGCAGGGCATTGTGTCCCCGTGCCGGCGGGGCCGCAGCTGGAGGCGGGAGCGGAGGGCCCAGGAATGTGGCGCTGGGGCTGGGCAGGCGTGTGCTCGCCCCGGCCGAGGAGCAGATGGTCGCTCGTGGCTTTCAATGCTCCAGCTCGGGGCTGGGAGAGCATCTGCAGCCTGGGCCGTTTGCTCGAGGTGGCCTCTACCCATAATAAAGCAGCAACCTTCCCCCCCTCGCCCCCCTCAGCCATCTGCTTCAGCGAGACGGAGCTTTGTTCTCTGCCAGAATATATTGCTAATTAAAACGGCGATCAGGAGCTCGTGAGGAGCCTTCGCACCAATGTGGATGGACCCCAGGTTCCCTCCCCGTGGGCTTGCCCAGAGATCAGCTCCCGGGGCTGAGCAGCAGACACACACCCCTGGAAGATGACAAATCTCCACACCCCACTTTGCTGGTTGCCTTCAGCTGCCAAGCACTAGAGAGACACCAGTGATGCACTTTCCTGAGCTGTAGATGACTCCTGAGCACTGTCCTGAGCTGTGGGAGCCAGATCCTGGCTTTACAGAACAGCTGGAGCCTCACGTTTGGACATCAAAGACCTGAAGATAAAGAGTTTCAGCCTGACCCTCCCAGAAGGTTTGGCTCCAAGAGGACATGCCATGCTGGAAACCACTCTGTGCAGAAGCAGACACAGATGTCTGGGGGGTGAGTGGCTTTGACAGGCTCTGAAGGGACAGAGCTGGGACATGACAGTGGTTTCTACAACCTGCAAGTAGAACAGACCTTCCCCAGAGCAGAGCCAGCAGCTGGGGAAGGGGAGAAGACAGATGCCCTACGTGGAGGTTCAGAAGTCAGCATGGCCTTAAGACTGGCCACATCTGGCTGTGTAGCCAGGGGTGTGCTGCTGCTCTGCTAACAGCTTGGGGTTGGTAGCCCACGGCCACCAAATCTGCTCCCCATCCCAACCCTGCACCACCACCACTGAGCAGACCATGGTCAACAGTAACACAAGGCCAAAAGGAAATGCAAACAAGGTCACAGCACTTGCCAAGCACACGTGCCCAGCTCTGAGCTGCCATGGGCTTGAAAGCCCAACAAGACCCATCACCTGCATCAAGAACTTAGGATAAACAAGCTCAAGTGGCACTGGAGGCCAGAGTCATGCAGCTGCAACCACCAGCAGCTTTCACACTGCATTTCTAAGTGCTTCCATGGTTGCAGCTCCATTAGCTCCACATCCACAAAGCCACCAGAGCCACTCCTTTCTCACCACCCATTAGCCTAGTCGCAACCACAGGGACAAACTCACACAGACCAAAGGGAACCTCGGGATCTCTCCACCACCCTCAGCTCACAGCAGGGTCAATGCTGAACTCAGACCCAGCTGCTCATGGCTTTGTCCAGTGGCACCTGGGAAGCCACTGAGGATGGAGGTCACGGAGCATCTCTGGGCAGCCAATCCCACGCACAGACCAACCCTGCAGCCTCTCCTCTCGTGTTTATGGAGCCGAGGAGGGGAAGGAAGCCTCTCAGACAGAGCCTGAGCCCTTTTAATTGGCATCGGTTGAAAGAAAGCACCAATTAAGCCACACTGCCCCAGTTCTCAGGCCAGCAAACCACCCTGGGCTGGAGACGGGCTCGTGGAGCGCAGGCAGCAGCGTGTGTATACGCACAGCAGGACAGAGCTGGGCAAAGGCTGCCAGGCTGTGCCAAGCCCTGAGAAGTCAGTGCATCAGGAGTCTCCTGAGGAGCCTTTCAGCCCCAGGACTTCCCAATACCTTCAAGCAACTCATTTCCATGCATACCAAGAGGATTATTTTAGAGACATGATAGTAATGCTCATAAAGGTGGGGGGAAAAAAGGGGATTTTACACATTTATCCGAGTTTTGCTCAAGTTGCAAGAGAATTAAGCATCCCATTTACCCCAAAAGGTGCAACAAGAGCTCCCACCAGGAGACAGGAGCTTAGCATGGTTATTTCCCCTTTGAGTTAATTAACTGACCTTGTTAATAGACTAGCCTGTTACACCTCCTTGACAGCTGAAGCAGAGGAGTAAGATTAGAGTGGCCTCTTCCATCAAGGGCACTGCTACCCTGGGGGTTGTGGGCAGATTAACATTGATTTCAAGGTCAGGGAAGCCCATGTGGCCAGCACCAGGAGGCAGATGAACATTCCTGTGCCAGCGAGCAAAGGTTACCGAGAATAGAGTAGAGAAGCTGGTTCTGGTGGAAAAACTTTCCGTTGAGGGCTTTGCTGCTTTTTTCCCAAAATTTTTAAGGTCAGCCACATGGGAATAACACCAGAAAGCTGGAAATTTCTCCCTTGTTGTCCCATGTAGGATTGGGCAGATGGCTGCAGGGACCCCCCCATCTCTAGGAAAGCACAAGTGAAGCCAGGAGAGAGGAGGGGAGAAAGCAGCAGCGTTTC